AGGAGCTGCCTGGGGCTCCAGCAGCCTCAACCTTCCTGAGCCTCAGTTCCCGCTGGTTTTTCCAGGCAGAAGTTATGGGGATTCTCTTCTTGGCACTGGAACCCTGAGCGGGGCGCCTGGTGTGGGATAGGAACCCCTCAGTCCTCAGGGAGGACCTTTCCAGCCGAGGTATTCTGATTTTTATCTGCCACACATGGGTGTGGGACCAGCCCCTCCTACCAGTCTTGATGTGGCTTCTTTAATTTCGTAGTTGTAGGACTTCCATTTGGCTCGATTTCAGGTGGTTTTGAATTATGGTTGCTCTGTAGTTTAGTTGTAACTTTGATGTGGTTGTGGGAGGATGTGGTACAGCGTTTACCTACGCCGCCATCTTGACCGGAAGTCTCCAGTTCTTTATATATTTTGGAGATTAACCCCTTATCAGATGTATCATTGGTGAACATGTTCTCCCATACCATGTATTCCCTTTTCATTTTGATTCTGGTTTCTTTTGTTGTGCAGAAGCTTTTTCGTTTGAGGTAGTCCCTGGCCTCCCAGGAATAGATTTTACATAAAATTTCAAATTATGGTTTTCTTTTACAGTCCAATGACCTAGCACCATTTAAACATCCAGGCAACGACTAACGGAAACAAAGTAGCAACTGCTCCCTTAATCGGGAATGCTTTCTGGAGCCCATCATAGACCCACCTGACCCAATTCACCCTCTGAAGAGTACATTTTCAAATGTTTAGTACAGTGTCTAAAACCTTTAATTATTTACCCTTTTCCTCTCCAGCCTTATTCTATGCCAGTGTTTCCTCAGCTTTTGTTCCAACAAGATTTAACTATAAATATCTCAGTGAAATGCCTCAGTGTTTCATGATTTTATCCCTTTTCATGCTTTGCTCTGTCTAGAGTGTGCTTCCCTACCTAGATAGCTGACCGAACTCCTATTCATCCTTGGAAACTCAACTCAGACATCACATCCTCTGGATAGCTTTGCTGTGTTCCATACTACTGCCCTTTCCTGATGTTAGTTCAAATAGATTCCTCTCTATGTTACCTCTATACCTATGACTATTTCAATCATCATGTTTATTACACTTCTCTGTGTTTTGTTTGCATATATGTATTTATTCCCTGTCACACTGTGAATTCTTGGCACTTAAGGAACATGCACTTTTCCCCTCTCCCTGTATACTCAGCATATAGTATAGTGCATGATACTTACAGTCATTTTCAGAGACCAGAAGATAACACCCCTTTTTTATTCACTTAAGTTTGAAACAAATTGAGAGTAAAAGGAGTCATATAGAGAGAATCACACTTTAATTTTTCTCGCCAATAAAAATTACTGTGGAGGAAGTGACTTAGCTGTGTGGCCTCAGTGGGTTTTCATAACTCATTACTATACAAGACAGATTTATCATTCTGACACAGGCAGTCTAGACAGCCATGTGCTCTGAAGCAGATCCCTTCTGTATGGATGATGAGAAATTAGAGCATGCTGAAGCCTGGCAGTTTCCAGGGTGGCACCAAGCCAAGATACCCAATTGCTTCTTCTAAATGTATCAATCAAATAAACCACATATCCTTGACAATTTTCGTCCTAGGTAGGAGAGAAAATCTCCCTTTTATAGAAACATGAGTAGAGCACGTGTACCACTAATAGTCCATAGTGGAAATCCAATACATAAATAATTAATATTAATTTGACAATCAAATCAAAGTGATGATGAATATTAGCAATGAGTCACACATCTGTTGTGTAACTAACAGTGCTAGCTTTTGCTGTGGTTACAAAGCACATCAAGGTCTCATGGCTTACCATGCAAACTTTTATTTCTTTCCCAGGCTAACTAAGGGCTGCAGGTCAGCTAAGGTTTTGCTGAGCTCAGCCGGCCTCAGCTTGGCTTGGCTCCAGGCTGTGGGTTGAATTTAAGTATTCTCTGTCTTCTCACTCTGGAGAAGTGGACTGAAGGAGCAGCAAAGTCAAACCATACAACTACAATTAAGTTTCCGCTTGGATGCAGCAAAAGCCTTTATTCCATTTACCAAAGCATGTCATACAGCCAAGCCAAAATCTAAAATCTAGTGAATCAAGAACATTTACTTCTTTCAAAGGATACTTAAGCAAGTAATCTGACCATATGTATCTTATAAGAAGGGAGCCAATACTTGGAAGCAGTAATCGAAACAAATTTCTTCTCCTCCGTGGGCCACATTTTAAAAATCCGTAATATATAGGAATGAAGATTCCTCTTTTGGACTACACAGGAAGCATGTAGTCATTTTGGAAACCATGTCTGCTTGGAAATCAAGTCTGGGAACCACGGCTCAGTCATTTTGACACACGAAAGCTAATTATTATAGCTTCCCCTACCGAAGGCAAGCCCCAGATCGTTAGATATGACGTGACCGTTATAGATTTCCTACCTGCATCATGCTACGCTACTTTATTCTCCGAACTCTTGCATCTGAGTTCTGAAAAGGCCTCTGCCCTCATCGCTGCTCCATGGAGCAAAAGGTGTTGATTTCCCAACAGAAGCTCCAGATCCATCCTCTTGTAAAAATTCTTATCCTGATTTTGGAGCCCCAGGGATACAATTATTTCATATTCGTTTCCTTCCTAGTGGTACACCTTTTGACTTACCCCTCCTGAAGTAGATTTTATCCCTATTTACCTCATTAGAATCTTTGTGTGTGGGTTCACAGTGTTTTATTTAATGTAGCTTAAAAATAATTTATATTTATGTTATATTTATTAGTATGTATACATCAATTATTATGCTATAAAAATAAAAGTGTGAGAGATTAACAAATAATGCACAGCCTTTAAACCCCTGGAAGGAGAAAAAGGTATTTTAATCTGAAGAAACTGTAAAGGCTCACACATTATACAGGATAGAGTTGTGAAATAGCAGAGTGTATGCAAAATCATATCTTATATACATTATGAGTTTGGAGGACTCCAGATTTCTCATTGCAAAAATTTTCCGTCTTGGTCCTAAACTTATAAACTAGAAACAACAACAACAAAAAAACCTAGACAAACATAGGCTTTCCCACATCAGAAAACAAAGCTGTGGCTGACCTCTTTTTGACAATTTCTTGGAGAACTTTGATGTGGTTCCCAACATTGCTACCTCTTTCCTCCAGTTTTTTTTTTTTTTTTTTTTTTTTTTTTTTTTTTTTTTTAGCATATCACTGACTACTTATTTATTTTCTCAATCTTTTTCTTTGGACTCGATACTTGAACTTAGATGTGATTACTATATGGCATCTTCTCATATTGTCTAGTAGCTTAGCTTCCACACATTGTCTGGTTCTTCTTACTCTTAGGTACTAAAATACTTTAAAATGTTAAACAGTAAGATGGCTTATACTCTGCTAATCGATAATCTGAATTATACACAGGGTCAAGTACCAAGAACTGGTAGCCCGAACGTGCTAAGGGAAACGATGGAGACGTTACAGGTGTCATGATGTAGGGTGAATGGAGGAACAATAGTACAAGTGCTCAGGGTTACTGATAATGGAACTCACCCCAGAGACCTAGAGCTAATTTGCATATGCATGTTTCCTGTATTTCATTTTCAAAAATCTCCCAGGTTGTGATTTCCCATTATTTTGTTTTTCAGCTGTTTCATCCTTACTTATTGGTATACTGAAAGTTTATATATGAAAGCTTGTATTTTAGGAATAGCATATGTAACAACTGTTAGACACCACGTAACCTGTGTGACAGCCCGTTCGTCCCTGGCTTAATGAAATGTTGGCGTAGTGTGGCTAAAACAGAGCTGCTGAGAAACAAAACAATGTGCTGATTAGACATAATCAAGGAGATATCCTTATTAAAGGTGAAAAGCACACAATTTGAATTTCAGCAGGACCATAGCCTGATACACACTATCCTCAAAGTCAGAAACTGCCTTTGGAACATTTCCTTTGACATGCCTGAGTTCTTGAAGGAGAATCTGTGCATTAATGTGCATTATCTCCCAGTTGTGGAAATTAAATGAAACTGTAGAAAGAAACAGCTTTCAATTAAAACAACAATGAGGTATCACCTCACACCTGTCAGAATGGCTGCCATCAACAAATCATCAAACAACAAGTGTTGGCGAGGGTGTGGAGAAAAGGGGACTCTAGTACACTGCTGGTGGGAATGCAGACTGGTGCAGCCACTATGGGAAACAATATGGTGTTACCTCAAAAAATTAAAAATTGAACGTCCATTTGACCCAGTGATCCCGCTTCTAGGAATATACCCTAAGAAGCCTGAAACACCCATCAGGAAGAATATATGTACCCCCATGTTCATAGCAGCACTGTTTACAATAGCTAAGATCTGGAAACAGCCCAAGTGTCCATCAGTAGACGAATGGATAAAAAAGCTGTGGTACATATACACAGTGGAGTACTATGCAGCGGTAAGAAAGAAAGATCTCTTATCCTTTGAGACGACATGGAGGGACCTGGAAAGCATTATCCTAAGTGAAATAAGCCAAGCAGAAAAAGACAAATACCACGGAATATAATGAACATAACAGTCTGAGGAATACAGTAGACCCAGAAATATGGAAGTAGGGCACAGACTGACATCCCTCAGAAGAGGGGTGGGGTGGGGGTGGGGTAGAGGTAAACCACAGAACTTATATGCATGTATACATAACCAATAGACATGGACAACAAAGCTGGGGACGGGGTGGGGGTGGGGTGGGGAGGGGGGTGCCAATGGGGTAAAAAAGGAGAAACATCTGTAACAAAAAAATAAATAAATAAATTTAAAAAAGAGAAAAGAATAATAAAGTAGGTCTTTCTATTAGAAAGAAAGAAAGAAAGAAAGAAAGAAAGAAAGAAAGAAAGAAAGAAAGAAAGAACGAACTTTCATTTTCTCAGCCAGAATAGAAAGTGGAAATTGGCCCTTGGAGGACTCTCATTTCTTCTTCTATTTTTGTAAACTTGTGCGGCAGGGTGACTTCCGACCCCGACTTCCTCAAACATCTGACAAACCACTGCCTCTTCGCTCGGAGGTAAATTCTGGTTTTGATGAGAGCGCATCTCCAATTACATTCCTGCTGTTGTCCTCATGCTGCTGAAGCTCTTGCTGTTGATCGGTGGTGAGTAGAACAACTCAGAACAAAGAATGGGATTCCATCACACCGGGGCTGTGTCTCCTGAAGAGCTGAGGGACTTCTCAGGAGTAATTTTCTGCCTGGCTATGGTCACGGATGCTTAGCTCTCTCCTTGCAACTGAGGGCTCAGAGTTAGGCAGAAAATGGTAGCTACAGGAAAGCCAGATGTTTTTATTTATTTTATTTATTTTTTTTTATTCTCACCCGAGGACATTTTTCCATTCTTTGTTCAGGTAGAGTGGGGGGGGGGGGGAGAGGAACAGAGAGAGAGAGAAACATCGACGTGAAAGGGACACATCGAGTGGCTGCCACCCGCACAACTGACCAGGGCCGGGGACAGACTGCAACCGAGGTACGTGCCCTTAGCGGGAACCGAACCCGGGTCTCTCAGGACTGCAGGCCGACGCTCTAACCGCTGAGCCAAACCGGCCAGGGCAAGCCAGATGTTTTTAAAGAAAATTATTATTTTAGTTTTTATCTCATAGGATGTGTTCACTATCTGTCTTTCTACTTCTTTCTTTTTTTTTTAATCCTCACCTGAGGATATTTTTTTGTTTATCTTCAGATAGAGTGTGAAGGAGAAAGAGAGAGAGAGAGAAAGACACATCAGTGTGAGAGAGACAGATTGATTTGTTGCCTCCCTGCACGACCCCAACCAGGGCCGGGGACTGAACCACAACTGAGGTTCGTGCTCTTGACTTGAATCTATGACTTTTTGGTCCATGGGCCGATGCTCTAACCACGGAGCTGAACCAGCCAGGGCTGTGTATCTACTTTTAATCGATGATTTTGTTTTTTGCTATTTTCTATAACCACAAAGATAAATTATTCAACAAATTGGTCTCTCAGTTCTTTGCCCTTCTGTTGACATTATTTTTCTTTATCTCTTCATGACCTCCCATTCTTACCATCAAACCTGAGAACATTACCAACAACTGCCCTATTTCCAAAATCCTAATTGTCAGCATCTGCCCTCCCCCACTTAATATGCTGTATCTCCAGCTCACATTTTCTTTTCTTTTTCTTTTTCTTTTTTTTATCCTCACCCGAGGACATTTTTCCATTTTTTGTTCAGGTAGAGTGGGAGGGAGAGAGAGGAACAGAGAAAGAGAGAGAAACATCGATGTGAAAGGGACACATCGAGTGGCTGCCACCCGCACAACCGACCAGGGCCGGGGACAAACTGCAACCGAGGTACGTGCCCTTATCGGGAACCGAACCCGGGTCTCTCAGGACCGCAGGCCGATGCTCTAACCGCTGAGCCAAACCGGCCAGGGCCCAGCTCACGTTTTCTGATGCTCCATCTCCAACACGTCTTCCACTCCCCAGGGTTACTTTTCCGTTGTCAATTACTACATTCTCCATCCTCACTTCTCACAGCAATTGGCTTAGATTCTGTAGTCCATTACAATACTCCCTTGCAGACACCTTCATCTCTCTCCCCCCTTTCAAAATTTATACTGAAATATGGCCATTTCACAGCACAGAGACGACTTAACCTGAGCCATGATTATGCTCACTTTTCAGACTTAACTCCCACTAGGGTTCTCCCTGCTTCCCTTGTATGGCTGCAGTTTATTCTTCTTACACTCTAAGAGTGATTTACAAATGTAAAATAAGTCAGAACTGTCCATGGCTCCCAGAATATCTAAAACAAAATCCCAAACTATTACCAAGTCCAGAAATCCCTTCATGACTGGCTCCTGATTAATTCTCACACACCAATGTGTCAACTACGGTCAGGCCACCTAGTTAAGCCCAGATGCACTTGCCTTCTTAGTCCTCTTGGAAAAGATTATGCCTTCTTATTGTCTTTGAAGCAGCTGTCTCTGCCAGAAACGATCATTTCCGAATACTCAGTACTTTCACTCGAATTTCATTTAGGTTTCTATGCGATTGACATCTACCTAAATAGTCAAGACTATCATAAGATAATCAGTAACTTATTTCTCTGATTCATTTTTCCTATGGCACTAACCACTCTTTGAAGTCTGTCATATATTTAGTTTTATTAAAAAAATTTTTTTTTCTTTATTGATTTTTGAGATAGGAAGGGAGAGGGAGAGAGAGACAGAAACATCAAAGAGAGATAACATCGAGTGGACACCTCCTGAATGCGCCCCCACTGGGGATCGAGTCCGCAACCTGGGCATGTGCCCTGACCGGGAATCGAACTGGTGACCTCTTGGTGCATGGGTCGATGCTCAACCACTGAGCCACACTGGCCTGACTATACTGTAAATATTTTGACAGCAAAGACTACCATTCATTTTTACTCCTGTAACACAAGTACTGTATACAATGCCTAGCATATAGAACTTGTTGTATAGATGACTAGAAAATGTAACTTTTATGTTAAACTTTATTAATTTTCTTCTTTTGCCTGAGGAACTCATCACTTAAATAAGCATTTAACCTAGGGAAAAAAAAGAGAAGGCATCTCAGACTAAACATGGGCTTAAATCAATGATAATAATAATCGATGATAATTGGATGTTAAATAAATTCTAGGCACTATTCTAAGCATTTTATGGATGTCAACCCACTGAATTCTCACAGAACTCTATGAGGCAGGTCTGTTATTATCTCCATTTTACAGAAAAGGAAACTAAAGCATAGAGAGACGAAACATTGTTCTCAGGTGACACAGCTTGTCAGCGGAAGAGCCAGGACTCCAATCCATGCCATCTGTGTGCAGAGCTGGCCCTTCCCACAGAACTTAGTTTCAGTGTTATCGTGTCTTGAGCCGAAGCCTGTCCACCGTCCTCCCCTGACTGCTGCTGCCGTGAGTCAGCTAGTGCAGGGCTGGATCATCCGCACCTGTGAGGGGAGGGGGTGAGAAGGACAGGTTTGAAGAAGGGAGCATTTACTATGTTTTATAAGTGGTTATAAAATAAAGGCACTGTCTTGTAATTATAAATGAGAGAAGTTAGTGAAAACTGCTTTATGTGTTGTTTTGTGGGCAGGTGTTTTGTAGGTGATGTGGAATGTGAGAAAAGGAACGGACTGAAAGAAGGAAGGACCCTGGACAGTTTGCTCAGTGGTTAGAGCGTTGCCCACAGACCAGAGAGTCCTGGGTTCAGTTCCTGCTAAGGGCACGTACCTCGGTTGCAGTTTGTCCCCGGCCCCGGTTGGGGTTGTGTGGGTGGCAACCAGTCGATGTGTCTCTCTCACATTGATGTTTCTCTCTCTCTCTCTTCCCCCCTCTCTCCCTCCCACTCTATCTGAAGATAAATGCAAAAATATCCTCAGGTGAGGATAAAAAAGTAAGAAAGGAAGGGAGGAGGGAAAGGGGCAATTAGGAGGAATGGAGGAAAGAAGAGAAGGAGAGAGGTAAGAAGAGAGAAAGAGAAAAGGAGAGGGGAAGGGAGGGATGTGGGGAGGGCACAAAGGAAGAAAGGTCTGTTGGGAAAGCTCTTTGGAAGATTAAACTGCGTATGTTTGGGATTTGATGTTCTGTACTGATCTCTGCTGAATTCTCTCCCAGCTCAACTCTGTGAACCAACCGGTGAGTTGCACTTCCCTTTCTTCTTCATGGTCTCTGGGTGTCTCAATACCTGGGCCAACACCGGAGGCCTGTGGATGGCTGTCTGACATCTGGTGACAGCTACTGAGGTATATAAATAACAGCGGCTCATTTGAGTTTAGGCTGTTTGTGTTCACACTAGTTTCTGCATCTGATACTTGTCTGCTCAGCCAGGGGAGCAGGTGTTGGTCTGACCTTCTCACAATGATAGTCTTTTTTTTTCTGGCAAGTCCCAGCTTAGGGAGATGCGGTTTGCACACAGAAGTTGTGGGTATCAAAGATGGATTTTAGAAGGATCTCTGCCCTCACGGCCTCAGGGACTCCAAGGACCCCGCGTGTTCCCTAGCTGGGTGCTACACCAGGAGTGATAAAGGAAATGTCAATCACACATCCATGGAGAACAACATTACAGCCAATCCTTGGGCCATGTGCAAAATAAAAGAGTGTTACTGGCCCTGGCGGGTTCGGCTCAGCGGCTGGAGCGTCGGCCTGCAAACCAGAGTCCCAGGTTCGGTTCCCGCTAAGGGCACGGACCAAAAAGAAAAGTGTGCTGCTGACTCCCAACAGCCTGAAGCTCTGTTATGCTGCCACAGCAGTCACCCTGGTGCATTTTCTCCCTCAGGCTCTGATATTTTCTAAACAATATTTTTTCTTTGTTGATTTAAGAGAGAGGAAGGGAGAAGGAGAGAGAGATAGAAACATCGATGAGAGAGAACATCAATCGGCCGCCTCCTGCATGCCCCCCACCTGCGTGTGCCCTGACTGGGAATCGAACCGGTGACCTCTGGTGCGTGGGTTGATGCCCAACCACTGAGCCACACAGGCATACTAGACTCTGATTTATTCAAACTTACTTATTATTCTGATCCTCATTTAATGTCTTACCTTTACCAGATGAAGAGAGGAGGCAATTTTCCCCCAGAAGAAATAGTTCACTATAGTGTGTTTAAATCTAATATGTGTCAGAACTCTTTTTTTTTTTTTTTTTGTACATAAAATACTAAACACAGGAGTAAAAGAGGTTATCCTGTCACACCAAGAACACAGGCTGCATGTGCAGCGAGGGAACATGGGATTAGGGATTTCTATGACGAGAGATATTCAGAACCAACCCCTGCTGGGTTTCTCACTTGATGTTTGTCCAAGTCTAACTCATGCCTCGTGTCAGTGCCATGACGTCCTGTTCTTGGCCCCGTTTTTACTCTGCAAAGGCATGCCTGTGCTGAATCCTAGCCCAAGCACAAGTCCAAAAGCCACATCCAGGATGATGAAACAAGGCTTCTGCCACTAGAAATTTTCCACATAGTCTCTGTGCCTAAGAATTATTGGAAATAAGCTCGGAGCTGTGAGACTGAGCTCTAAAGCCTTGCTCACTGCTGTTTCCGATGCTCTACTCCATCCCTAACCCAGGCTCATGCAGAAAAGCGGGCCACAGTGCCCAGATACACTTTTTCATCCCCTTTCTGCTCAGACCCTAACGCTGTGCTGCTCCTCATTCCTCTGGGGACTGCACTTTCCAAGGAGAGAAAGTGACTCCAATGTGCAGGGCATCCCGCACAGAGCAAATGTTCTAGTACCATTTTGGAAATGATTTTTTTCTTTTTCTTTTTTTTAATTCTCACTTGAGGATATTTTTTTTCCATTTTTGTTCAGATAGAGTGGAAGGGAGGAAGAGAGAGGGAGAGAGAGAGAAGTATCCATGTGAGAGAGACACACCAACTGCCTTCTGTGTGACTCCAACCAGGTCTGGGGACCAACCTCAACCAAGGTACGTGCCCTTGACCGGAATTGAACCCGACTCATTGGTCTGCGGGCCAATGCTCTAACCGCTGAGCCAAACCGGTCAGGGCTAGAACAGATATTTTCAACATTCCAGGGTAAAGCATTCCAGTGTAAAGGATTACAGACATTGTCCAGCCGGTGTGGCTCAGTAGTTGAGCATCAAGAGGTTGCTGGTTTGATTCCCGGTCAGGACATAAGCCCAGGTTATGGGTCTGATCCCCAGTGGGGGTCATGCAGGAGGTGGCCAATCGATGTTTTCTTTCATAGATAATTCTGTCTCTCTCTCCCTCTCACTTCCTCTCTCTCTAAAATCAATAATGGAACAAAAAAGGATTACAGATATTAAACCAGAAATAACCTCTCAGTGATCTAGACCACATGGCATTTTTATATGGTGAATTAAAGATGCAGCAGCCCACAAAACAGCAAACTCCCTGATAGCACTGGCCCTTCAGGTATTTGTTCATTCAACTCTTAGAGCCTCTGCTATTGGAAAAAAATTTAAGAATTTTAAGAAAAACTTCTTTCTCTTCTCACCGTAAGGAGATAAGGCGGAAGCAGAATATAACCAGAACCACCTTCACCTCATCCAGGAAAAAGCCCCTACGGCATCCCCTCCAAATACATCCCTGAGGCTTAAGATGTGGATTAAATTTTCTCCTTATCAACATGGTTTCTAAAGGGTTTTGTAAAGAAGTCTCAGAGCACAGGTTGTGTAGATGTGTGGATCGAAGGCATTTCCAAGCAAGTACATGCCTGCTCCTTTCCTTAGCAATAATAAGGGCAAAAGAGAATCAGTAAGGAAGGAATTGAATTTCTCTAAGTCTTTCCCAGATCTTCCAGGTCTCATATTTTGTCTTTGAATGAGACAGTCTGAGATGTCAGGGGAAAGGAAACAGAAGAAAATAACCAATATGACTTACAACAAGGATGGATGAAATACATTCACTTTTCCTAAAACTTCAAGCTTCATCTTCTCCAGTGCCAGCTTCAGTGACAGTTACCAAAAAAAAAAAAAAGTGCTCTTAGCTCATGTATAGAAACTTCAGTGAGTCAGAACCAAGTCAAAGGTAAGGGTTGCCTTGTGGTAGGAGGCGATGCTACACAGTTGCAGGATGTGTTGGGGGGCGAGCAGTTGGCAAAAAGAAAGCTGGTGGACCAGTTGTGGGTGGTGATGTCAGGGAGGTCTGTGTTTCCAGTTCACTGGTTCTCAATCTTGTTTCAAATGCTGAGAATACAAAGTTACTCTTACCAGGAACTCTGAACTTCATTGCCCTGGAATATGTGTTCAATCCTTCTCTCTAGTGCTGCGTTTGACAGTCAGCCCTTCTCAGCCCATAGAGGGGAACTCAATGACCCTGACCTGTAAGACCCAACCCATTCCACAGAAGTTATATGTCCAGCTCCAGTTCTGCTTCTTCAAAGAAGACTCTCCCCTGGGGCAGAACTGTAACAACTCCCCGAAGTTCCAGATCACTGCCACGAGGAGGGAAGATTCAGGGTCCTACTGGTGTGAAGCACGGATAGCTCAACGTAAAGTCCTAAGGAGCAGGGGTACCCACATACATGTGCAGAGTGAGTGCCAGTGGGGTCCTCTGCTGGGTGGGGGTGTACTAAGGAGGGCATGAGTCTGGGCTTTGCTGACTGTTCTGTTTTGCTGCTGTAGAAATAGTAGCTGTACCTGAGCTTCTTTATCAGAGTGCTTAAGAGATCTCCCCTTCCCCTTGCTATTCCCATTCAAGCGAGCAGAAGAATATTTAGAAAAACTTATTGTATGTCTTCACTCTGCTGAAGACTGTGGAGAGAATATCTGTAGAATACATGGTCCCTCATTACAAGTAGCTGATGCTCAATCAGCACTCTAAACGACTATGGTGAAATATGTGGTGGTGGTGTATAAGGTTGATTATTAATAATAATCAGAGAAGAGAGAACGATGACTGAGGTTGTAGAGAAGGGTTTGTGGAATAGGCTATTAAAGAAGGGCTTATGCAGGGGCCTGGTTTTTAAACATAGAAAAGGGGGTGTTTTCTGATTCTAAATAATGTTATTGCAAGTCAGGGTCGATGCTTCTGATATCCTTTCATTCTCGAACAAAGATGTATCCATTGTGCCATAAGGCAGATGTTCTCCAGAAGCCTGGGCTTTCGCAGACTTGCTCAAAACTCAACATTGGTGATGGTGAAACACACACACACACACACACACACATACACACATGCACACACACACACACAACTAGACAGCAGGTACTGTTCTAGCACAGAGTGAAAGCATCATTCAAACCCAGGCAGTTTGATTTGCAACACGGAATATTAACCAATATGCTTTTGTGCCTTGAAAAATTAGCGTTTGAGGTATCAGGTTCTGGAAGGTCCATTGTCTTAGGGAGGGAGGTGATGCCACATCCTCCGTAGTAAAATTATGGTGCCGTTCTTACCCTACTGGCATCAACCCAAACAATGCCAATTCCATCAACCCAAACAGTGCCAATTCCATCAACCCAAACAATGCCAATTCCATCAACCCAAATAATGCCAATTTCAAATCAGCAGAAATATTGCCCCCCCCACAATTAAACTATATACGTTATTGACTTTATCCAAGCCCCCCCCCCCAGTTTTTCAGGATAGTCACACCTACTCCTGTCCCCGAAACTCTCTCTATATAGGGCTCTCATGTTTCATTTTGTGTTTTTGCAGGAATTCCTGTCTATAATGTGAGGTTGGAGACACAGCCTCCAGGAGGACATGTGATGGAGGGAGAGAAGCTGGTTTTTGTCTGTCTGGTCACTGGGGGAACAGGAGACATCACCTTCTTCTGGTACAAAGGGTCCCTGGGTTTAAACCTGGAAGTGAAGACCCAGCGTTCACTAACAGCGAAGTTTGAAATTCCTACGGTGAAAGAAAGTGATGCTGATAAATATTACTGCGCAGCTGACAATGGCCATGGCCCCAGTCTCAGCGGGCTAGTGAGCATCACTGTCAGAAGTAAGTTCCACTACCCTTCAGCGCAGTCACCATGTCACAGATTGGGAAGATTCAGGGTCCCTGTTCCTTTGGGGCATCCTGAGGAAGTTCAGTGGCTCTGAGCCCCTGTGGGAAGAGATTATGACTCTGTCACATTATCAGACACCCTCTCAGACATTCCACTATCTCTGTCAGTTCCAGTGTCTCGCCCTGTCCTCACCCTCAAGGCTCCTGGGGCCCAGAGTGTGGAGGGGGATGTGGTGGAGCTTCGCTGTGAAGCCTGGAGAGGCTCTCCTCCAATCCTGTACCAGTTCTACCACGAGGATGTCGCTCTGGGAAACAGCTCAGCCCTATTCGGAGGAGGAGCATCCTTCAACCTCTCTTTGACGACAGAACATTTTGGAAACTATTCCTGTGAGGCCAGCAATGGCCTGGGGGCCCAGCGCAGTGAGGTGGTGTCACTCAACATCACAGGTATAGCTCTGGCTATAGCACAGTCTTGGTCAATGTCTCTTTCTCAGCATCCTGGGAGAGTTTCACTGACCTCACAGTGTTTTTGCTGCTGTGTTACCAAAGATGGGGTTCCAAGTGGGTGGTGCTGTCCTAGGAGATGTATCTGAGGGGATGGAGGACATAAGCACTGGGCGCATCTCTTTTTTTTTCCATCATGTGAAAAGCTGCAAGTCTCTAGATAAATAAGTCTCACAACCCCTCACCCCTGTAAAGGGCAGACCTTGGCCTCAATGCACACTCAAGATGTCTGCTCTCCAAACTGAAGTCCTCGTTGGCAGCTCATGAACAGGTTTCTCTCCTCAGTGCCTACAGAAGACAGACTAAAACTTACTTCAGTAATCTTTGAAGCGTTGATCGGCATCCCTGTTCTCATCACTGTGGTCTTATTGTTTTACTGTTGGCACAAGAGAAAAACAGGTTAGTATTTATAGAGATTGGGATGTTGTTACTGTGAACTTTGTTTTCATTGAAATAGGCTACATTTGTGTCACATATACTAAAAAGAATGAATATAGCCTGTTAGTCACCCTGCCTACAGATCTGCTTACAACTCCCAGCATGAGAAGGCCATCTATTAAAGTAGTGCAATGTTGTTAGTCAGGTTCTCTATCCCTTTGTATTACCAATTGAAATCCAGTTGATATCTAGTGCTTTGTGATTTAATTTTCAATGACTTTTTTTTTTTTAATCTTTACACGAGGACTTTTTTTCTGCTCTTTGCTCAGATAGAGTGGGAGGGAGAGAGAAGAAGAAGAGAGAGAGAGAGAGACACATCAACGTGAAAGGGACACATCAAGTGGTTGCCACCCACACAACCCAGCCAGGGCCGGGGACAAACTGCACCGAGGTACATGCCCTTAGCGGGAACTGAACCCGGGTCTCTCTGGACCGCAGGCCAACGCTCTAACAACTGAGCCAAACCAGCCAGGGCTCTGTGATTTAATTTTTATACAAAAATGTAACTCTAAATAACTGATTAGCTACTGGAAAAAAATACAATGACAAGTTCCAGTATAGCTTGGCATCTCCCAAGTAAAGTCAATGCATTAATTCTTATGCACCTTAGATTACAATCACATGCTTTCTCCCCACTGACATGCTTGTCCACACATCCACACACTCTGCTCGTTGCTGGATCTCTTCCAGTTTTCACCTTGGGGCTTCACCTGCCCACACAGCCTACAATTCTCTTCTATTATTATTCATCAGAGTATGAGGTTTTTAGTTTTGTACTTTTTCACCTTTGCTAATTAAATATTGCTTTGTACATGTAATTTTGGTTTCTCGTTCTCCACTGATCAAGTTGGAGATGGGGCAAAAGCAGACAATGTGAGATTCTCATTTAAATTACAAGCTTTTTCTGTATCTTTGGGAACCTCGCCACATCTCTGATGTGGTTGCAGCAGTGCCCGCTCCTGAGGGGTCTTGTCATGGTAAAATTAGGTGGTGTGGTTGTAAGATCAGAAGCAAAAAATAGAATAGGGGTGAAGGTTCAGAGGCTTGAGCTCACGTATTAGCTTTGGTATTTACTGTCGTTGAGAAGCTCACTTAACTCTTTTAGACCTGAGTCTCCTCATCTGCAAAATGAAGGATCTGCCCGAATGACTGCCAGGATGTTCTTTGGGCATACAGGGGCATCTTGTGACAGGCACACTGGCACAAAAAACATTCTCCGCACAAGCACTGCCTGAAAAAATGGATAAAAAGAGTTTCTCCATTGACATGTGTGCTCATCTGTTTGATTTTTAGGAAGACGTTCAGCCAAGGAACCACTCAGGTGAGGCCTCTGTTTTCTCTGTCTGCGTTGACAGTGTAGAAAAATTTATTGTATAGCAATTAAGTTGTCCTCTCTCAAGAGCTTTTTTCATATTTTTATCATGTCCCAAACTTTCACTACATAGTTCCCTCACTGATAACTGAATATTCACCTGCTAGTCCTCTTCATTTACATATTAACACATTAATTTAAATCCTTTCATCATTCTTCCTAATTTACCTCCTTCACTAAATCTGTAGAATAAGAAAGTTACATTACTTTGACCCATTTTATGCATTCATTCAATCAATTAACCAATATCTGAGGGTCTGTGAGTCATTCTATTGAGCACTGAAAGACCTGAAAATATGTACAAATTTTCAAGTATAGAAGAGTTAAGATAAACACACATTTCTGTAACACAGGCCAGAGAGTAATCAACATACTGAAAATTTTTATGATAAAGTTCTTTAGGAATTTAGAAAAGATTTTTAAACTACATTCATCTGGGGATATCAATATTTAGTTGATATGTTTTTATAGCATGTTATTGTTTATGCCAACAAAAATATTTTTTTCCAAATCAGAGTAGCTCTCTTTCAGTGGTACATGTACACACCAAGGCAATTATTTTCTTTTCTTTCCTCAAGACACTTGTTCTACCTAGCAAAATGATTTCCATCTGGAGTAAGTCAATATTTCTTCATTTCGTATTTATTGAGCACCTGTAATGTGAATGGCACTATTATGGGTGTGGGTAATACCACAGTGAGCCAGTCAGATAAAGACCTTACACTCATGGAATATATACCCTAGTGATACTCTGCAAAGCCTTACTCAGCCCATGTATAGGGCTGTGGCTTCTACCATACAGCTGTGTTGACTGCTAATTGTCACAGACATTACTATTCCACTAAGGACCCTAACACGCTTCTCTCATTGTCTTACTCGTAATCCCAGATAGCAATGTCGGGGACACCTGGAATGCTACCCCAGGTAGATAGTATGCATTTCTGTTTGCAGGAGCCTTCCCAGCCCTGAACCTCAAGAATTCACAATCCTGAACTCAACTACCCCAGTGCAACCACATCCTGCATATGGAAATGGTGAGGTTTCCTAAACGACTGAGACAAAAATAGGCAGAGAGAGCTGGGGAAGAGGCAATGGGGTGACGTCTACTAGTCAAACCTGACCCTTCTGTGCTCCAACCACCTTTCCAAATAGGTGAATCATCTGTCTTCATGGCCAAGATAGGTGTTATGTATGAAGCCATTTAAATGGTGGGAAGAAGGGAGTGTGTCATGATGCCTTCTTTTTTTTTCTTTCAGTGAATGTTGTAAGTGGAAATGAGGTTTATTCTTTGGTGTACTCTGTGCAACAGGAATGGCAATCAGCAGCAGGTAAGACATGAGGACGTGAATTTTTCTCTGAATTTTGTCTTTCCTGGAACCGAGAAATGGCTGTGCATAGCAGTGCTCTTTTGTGTTGTTGCTTTTACTGTTGAAGCGGACAGTGGTCACTATTGTACCTGTTTGAAGGCCGGGCTTTGGTCTGGACCCTGCCTTGAGTAGAACTCAGTGCTGATGCCAACTTGGCCTGACTGTGGAGTGTCTGTCTCACTCTGCAGTCAGATGGAAGCACTGGAGATGGTGGCTTCTGCCTGTCTTCTTTGACCTGCCTATGCACTCCCTGTACCACCCCAATGCAGCTGCCTAGTTGCTACTGTTGTCTTTTTTTTTTTTTTATCCTCGCCCGAGGATATTTTTCCATTTTTTGTACAGATAGAGTGGGAGGGAGAGAGAGGAAGGGAGAGAGAGAGAGAAACATCGACGTGAAGGGACACATCGAGTGGCTGCCACCCGCACGACCAACCAGTGCCGGGGACAAACTGCAACCGAAGTACGTGCCCTTAGCGGGAACTGAACCCGGGTCTCTCTGGACCGCAGGCCGACGCTCTAACCGCTGAGCCAAACTGGCCAGGGCGCTACTGTTGTCTTATCTAGTTATGGTAGGCCCAGAAATGCTGAGAGGTATAAATACTAGAAGGAACCTACTTATCCTCCTCCCCCCAGGCTGTTAATTTTTCTCTGCAGAATAAGGGAAGTATATTTGTGATAGGAAGAAAAGTGAGACACAATATTAATAGAAATAAATCCATGAGCAATAGACAGGAGAGGAAGAAGCCTTCATTAGAACACATTTAGTGAAGGATGTTCTGTGTAAGTGGAATCTCATAGCACATGGCTTTTCCTCCACAGCAGAATCCCTGAACACACAGACTGAGGATAAGGTGAGTTGGAATTCCTACAATTCTTTCCTCTATGCTCTTTTTCTTCTGGGGTGTGGTTCTCATGCTTCTTAAACTGTGGCCACCTGAGGAAAAACAAAAGAGCCCACAATCTATCTTCTCACACACTGGGGATATAAACATTTAGTTATAACAACAAAGTGTCACCGTATAAGGAAATTTGGGAGGCTTACATATACATACATATCTTTTAGCCATGGATATGTGGATTATTGGGGACTAAATAGTAGTGTATACCTAGTCTAAAATTTTTATTTAAAATTCTTTACACTGGAATACTGTTGAGCCCTACATATATAATTTTGTTCTGTAAGATCAACCAAAAAACACATAGAAATCTAAATGAATAAGCTAAACAGTGATTTTTATGATGAAAAATCAGTAATTTCTAAACTTTGAATTTATGACATTACTGATGGTACAAAAATGCTTTCATAAAATGCAGAAATTCCAATTCTGCATGTATGCAAGAACAGTAGGTGCTTTGTAATTTTGTCAAGTGTGGTGTGACAGTCAAATATCTCAGGACAGAATTCAAATCCTTGGTAAACTTCAGTGGCATGCTAAATTTAGTTTATGAATACAAACTTTTGACATTCTTAAAAAATTGACAGCCCATGGAACTGCCTAACAATGGCCCATAAGAATGAGAGAAGGCCATGTATGTTTGGATCAGTTCCAGTTCACACCTCTGTGGCCCACTAGTAAAATGCAGACTATTTGAAAATGCTGCCCTTAGGGCCGCAGTCGTCCAGTACTCATGCGACGTGTGGCATACCATAATAGAAAGCATTCATGCGATTGGGAAAGAGAACTGAGGGAGGCATATTCTACTTGTCTTCCCGGCTCTGGCCCTACCCCTGTGCCTTTGCTTCTAGGACCCCTCTGTCATCTATTCTGGGCTGAAGAATGCACGTGCTATGGATGTGGACTATGAAAATGATGTGGACTATGAAAATGATGTGGACTATGAAAATGATGTGGACTATGAAAATGATGTGGACTATGGAAATGATGTGGACTATGAAAATGATGTGGACTATGAAAATGATGTGTAAAGTTATGGAAGATTCTGCTCTTTATAAACCATCTATGACCCCATGCCTCAGAACCAGTATATTCTTCAGAGATTCTGGGGAATAGCTTTCCAGTATGCTCACTCAGGTGCTTTCCTCCAAGAGACGATTGCTACATCTATTGTAAAGTGAAGTTGGCTCAAGCCCTGGAGAGATCACCCAAGAGAACCAACATGAATGCAGGAGTGGGAAGGGCTTTATTACCAGAACCTGATTCTTGCTGGTTCCTTTAGGCACAGGTCAAACTGTGCTCTAACTTCTTTTCCTAAGAGGAAACAGGATAACATAAAAAAAACTTAGGACTTTGGGGAAGAGGGACAGTGACACTTAGTGTGCACAAAACCAAAGGTTAGCGATTTTGTGGGATTGCTCCATACAGAGCTGTGTCTATCATCTTGTCCAAGTGCTTTTTCTGCTCAGATGGTACTGAACTCCAGACCTGCCATATACATTAATCATCCTGTTTCTCCATAAAATATGTGATTCATAACATTTGAAGTCACTGTTACCAAATTAGAATTGAAACAAAGTTACATAAGACATTTTTGCAGTTATACTCGATTTTAGCATATTTGTATGCACAAGCCAATCTAGATTTACAATGATATATATTTGTGTCACCACATCCAAAGTGATAATATGGCTTGGAATTTATATTTTAATTTTAAGTCAATCATTTGATAACTCTTATAAATTATGACAATTTGAAGCATAAACAATAAGAAATTAAAGTCTTCCCTATAATCTACCACCACACGTGGTACCCATTGTTAGAAACTGAGCACTGTTGCCCTGGCCGGTTTGGCTCAGCGGTTAGAGCGTTGGCCCATGGACCAGAGAGACCCGAGTTCGGTTCGCGCTAAGGTCATGTACCTTGGTTGCAGTTTGTCCCCAGCCCCGGTTGAAGTTGTGTGGGTAGCAACCAGTCGATGTGTCTCTCTCACATCGAAGTTTCTCTGTCTCTCTTCCCCCCTCTCTCCCTCCAGCTTATCTAAATGCAAAAAATGTCCTCAGGTGAGGATAAAAAAAGAAATTGAGCATTGTTAAAAATCACAGCTCCGCAGAGATTTCTCTGTTTTTGTACAAACATTTATACATACTTGTAAATATATAAATATTTAGAAATATACCTATTTAACAAAATATCATGAAATATTTTTTAAAGTTGAAAATGCTACCATACAGGCAAACATACCAATGTACACATATAATAAATATAAAATGACAATTATATAATAAACTCAGAAACGGCCTCGGATTCTGAATTCTGTCAGTGTTCTTACAAAATGCCATTCTACCTATCTCTCTGAAATTATGGGAGACTACCTTATTCTCTTCTTTGTTGCGCAAAATTTAGAGCATCCTGCTCAGTAATGTTTTAACCAGTTTTGTATATTTGTTGATTTTTTATTTTCTGCAATAATTTTTGAGAGCTATGTATTTATTGCCACTTTATTATTCATGTTATCCTTTTTTCCTTAAAGAAGACCCTTTAACATTTCATGTAATACTGGTTTGGTGGTGATAAACTCTTTTAGCTCTTTCTTGTCTGGGAAGCCCTTTATATGTCCTTCAATTCTAAATGATAGCTATGCTGGGTAGAGTAATCTTGGTTGTAGGTCCTTGCTTTTCATCACTTTGAACATTTCTTGCCAATCCCTTCTGGCCTGCAAAGTTTCTGTTGAGAATTTGGCTGACAGTCTTATGGGAGTTCCCTTGTAGGTAACTAACTGCTTTTTCCTTGCTGCTTTAAAGATTTTTTGTGTCTAACATTTGTATTTTGATTATGATGAGTCTTGATGTGGGCCTCTTTGAGTTCCTCTTATTCAAGACTCTATGTGCTTCCTGAACTTGTATGTCTATTTTCTTCACCATGTTAGGGGAGTTTTATGTTATTATTTTTTCAGATAGGTTTTCAATTTTTTGCTCCCTCTCTTCTCCTTCCAACACCCTCATGATGGGAATGTTTATATGCTTGAAGTAGTCCCAGAGGCTCCTTATACTACCCTAATTTCCCTAATTTATTGGAGTATTTTTTGCTGTTCTGATTGGGTTTTTTTTTTTTTTTTTTATCCTCACCCGAGGACATTTTTCCATTTTTGTTCAGATAGAGTGGAAGAAAGAGAAAGAGAGAGAGAAACATCGATGTGAAAGGGACACATTGAGTGATTGCCACCAGCACGACCCAACCAAAGCCGGGGACAAACCGCATCCAATGTACATGCCCTTAGTGGGAACCGAAGCTGGGTCTCTCTGGACTGCAGGCTGACGCTCTAACTGCTGAGCCAAACTGGCCGGGGCTGACTGGGTGTTTTTTAATTCCTTATATTCCAAATCACTGATTTGATTCTCAGTTTCATCTTCTCTACTGTTGATTTTCTGTATATTATTCTTCATTTCAGTGAGTATATCCTTCATTTCCAACTGGTTCTTTTTTATGATTTTAACATTCTTTTCTGTGCTGTTGAAGTTCTCACTAAGTTCCTTGAACATCCTTATAATCATTGTTTTTTTTTTGTACAGATAGAGTGGGAGGGAGAGAGGAAGAGAGAGAGAGGGAAACATCGATGTGAAAGGGACACATCGAGTGGCTGCCACCCGCACGACCACCCAGGGCCGGGGACAAACTGCAACCGAGTTACATGCCCTTAGCGGGAACCGAACCGGGGTCTCTCTGGACCGCAGGCCGATGCTCTAACCGCTGAGCCAAACCAGCCAGGGCTAATCATTGTTTTAAACTCAGTATTTTTTAGTTTGCTTGCCTCCTTTTCATTTAGTTCTTATTCTTGTTCTTTTACTTGGTACCTGTTTCTTTGTCTCCTCATTTTGGCTGCTTCCCTATGTTTGCTTCTATGTATTAAGTAGAGCTTAATACATAAGTGTCTCAAGCTTGGTATTAGGTACCTTGTGGGGTCTAGTGGCTCAGCCTCCCTCTTCACCCAAGTGGAGTATTCTAGGTGTCCCCCACCCTCTGTGTGGGCTGTGTACACCCTCCCTTTATAGTTGAGCCTTGGTTGCTGTTGGCACCTCAATGGGAGGAATTTACCCCCAGGCAGAGTGACTTTGAAGACTGGCTGCGACCATGGTGGAGGTTTAGCTGTGCAGGACCTGCCATATGTACCAGGATTTACTTCAGAAGAGCTCTGGTGCCCCTTGAGTAGGTCACTTGTCGAGGTGGTTTGGTGATGCTTTGACTTGGTCTGGGGTAACGCTGGCTCTGGGGCCTCCCAGGAGGTACAGGCCAAGGTCAACTGCCACTTGTGTTTTTCCCAGGGCTTCTGGGCATAAGCCACAAAGCAATCTTCAGATGGCGCTGCTTGTGCTGGGTTTGGAAGTGCCCAGGAGAGGCCAAGTTGTGAACCGAGGCCAGCTGTGCAAGTGCTGGGCTTGGGACGACTTAGCAAGAGTTACTGGGCACATTGAGGCCAGATGCTGACTGTTTGAGATATTTTAAGAAAGTCTGAAGCGTGAGCCAAGACAGGCTCTTCATATGGAAAAGCCAATGGAAGGAGCTTGGGTGGGCCTGCAAGCTGATTGGGGCAAAGTCTCAGGGAATCACCAGGATGGGACTAACAGCCTTAGCCAAGATGATGGAGATTTGGATACAGAGCCTGCCTACTGGCTCTGTGGGGGAAGGACTCAAAAAAATGAACAATGGACTCTGACAGAACTTTTGTCTGGGAAGAAGCTGCCACTCCATCTCTCCCACTGATGCCAATTTACTTCCTCCCCATATATCCATGTGAGTGAGTCTGAGTATGTCCCTGTGCACGCCCTTTAAGTTAGATGCCTTGACTCTGGCCTCCCTCCATCACGCTCAGCCACAATCCCCACTAGTTTTTACAGCCAGAAGTTATGGGGTCTTCTCTTCCTGGCACTGGAACCCCCAAGATGGGGAGCCTGATGTGGAGCTGAGACCTCTTGCTCCTCAGTGGGGACCTCCAAAGCTGAGATATCACTTCTAATTTTATTCACCACATGTGAGGATAGGACAAGTTGGTTTCTCATCTTTGCCCCTCCTACCAGTCTCACTGTGAGTTCTATTTCATATACTTACTTGTAAGACTTCTGTTAGCTAGATTTCAGGTGCTTCTGAATGATGACTGTTTAGTAGTTTGGTTATAATTTTGATGAATCCTGAAATATTTTTCAGTTTCTATATAGATGTAGTGTACTATTTTAAAAAGCTGCATATTCTGCTATATAGATAAATCCTATATTTTTCTTATGGTAGAATATACATAACATAAAATTTAGAATTTTAACTATTTTAAGTGTAAAATTTAGTGCCATTAAATGCTATCCTAATATATTTTAATACTTTCAACCACTGGTAGACATTATGTGATTTTCAAAAATTTTTTATTATAACACCAATGCAAAAAATAAACGTTCTTGTACAAATATATTTATGAATTTCTGTTAATTCATCTGAAGAATACATTTGTAAATTAGGGATTGCTACATTTTAAGTTATGTACATTAGATTTTTTTTTTTTAAATGCCCTTAAATTGATTCCAGGAAAGATGTATCAATTCACCCGTCCACCAACAGTGTATGAGAAAATCTGTGGAAGAAAAGCATTGTTACTTCATTAAAATCCTTGCTTTTATTTTCTTCAGTTTCATTTTCTACTTTGATTCTCTGTTTTTGACACAGAAAAAATTCAATTCTTTTAAAAGACTATCAATGTAGAAAACATTCAAACATGTGAAGAATTTTTGTGAGTTTATTTGAGTCAAACTGATGACAGTTGTCAGGAAGCAAAATCTCAATGAATTGAGATAATGCTCCAGAGAATGGTACTTTTGCTCTGTATTTTGTACATTACAATTAAAAGAAAAGATGTAATTAGGTTACATAAAATCCATTAGTGATAGATTAGGGAGGCTAAAGAAAGCAAAGCAGGAAATCTCTGGTATTGGGTAAAAAGTAAAATGATAGACATGTACATCTTTTACACAGGTGGTACAGGATAGTCACCAATCAACGATTAACAGATAAGAATAACAATGAAAATAGTCTCCACTATGGTGCATTGGTTGTGTCCTGAGGGGTCTGGAAAAAGAGGAGTTACCCTGACATTTCAAAGAAATGTTTTCTTAAATGCAAAAGACAATAGGCTCAGTTAAGGTAAAGATGGACATTTGTGAGGACAGATTCTCCAGTGATACATCTGATAAGAAGTTAATTTCCAAAATATATAAAGAATTTATTTAACTCAACACTAAGAAGACAAATAATCCAATTAAAATGAGCAGAAGACCTGAATAGGTACTTGGCTAATAGACATATGAAAAAATGCTCAAGGTCACTAATCATCAGAGAGATGCAAATAAAAACTACAATGAGATATTACTCTGGGCTGTCAGAATGGCTACCATCAATAAATCAGCAAATAACAAGTGCTGGTGAGGATGTGGAGAAAAGGGAGTCCTAGTGCAGGGAGGGAATGCAGGCTGGTACAGACACTGTGGAAACAGTATGGAGCTTCCTCAAATTATTAAAATTGAACTGCCTTTTTGATCCCACTTTTGGGAATATATTCTAAGAAGACTGAAACATCAATCAGAAAGAATATATGCACCCCTATGTTTATAGCAGCATTATTTACAATAGCCAAGATCTGAAAACAGCCCTAGTGCCCATCAGTACATGAGAAGATAAAAAATGCTGTGGTACATTTGTACAATGGAATACAGACAACAGTGTGGTGATGACCAGAGGGAAGGGTGGGTGGGGGCTGGCTGAAGGTGAGCAAAGGACGGGGGAAATAGCGACATCGGTAATAATATCAACAATAAAAGTAAAGCTATA